TGTGGTTGCTCCCCTCGCCCGCCATTCAAGGAGCGAACACCAGCCCAGGTACACTCCCCGGGCTCCTGGCTGCGTCCAGCTCAGCGCAGCCTGGAGGTCAGGAGAGGAGGGAGGCCAGGTACCGCTTTCCCCTCCCCACGCCCTCAGCACCTCCGGCAGGTCCCGGTTCCCGTCCCTGACTCAGGGTCTGTCACTCCACCCAGGGTCACAGGCTCCAGAAACGCCACCTGGTCTCACTCTGTCTTCCTGCCCACCTCTGGTGGCCTCACCGCCCATCCTGTTTGCTTATGTAGCTCTTCTCACACCTTTAAGCAAAGTTATTATATTAAATTCTCTCTGCTAAAGTACCTGACATGGGTCTGTGTTCCTGGCTGGACCCTCTCAGGAACCAACCATACTCCTAACGTCTGCCTAGATGTGTTTCCTGTACCATGCTTCTTGCTCCCCGGGGGCGCAAGGGGCTCATGCATTTACTCCACCCCCATATTCTCTAGATTGGCTGACGGCTTTTCTGGAGAACTGGTGGGCTTTCCCCTCCCTCGCCGGCTCCTGCCAGCACAGTGAGTGGGTAACTCCTCACAACAGTGGCCGAGTTGCAATTTCATTGGTTTATGTAAATTGGTACAATTCAGGTGTGAATCAGTCAGACGCCTTCTGTGATCTACGACCCAGAAAAATGAGAGCACCTGCGTCCAGTGAGGAATTCTGTGCTCAAGCAGCCGAAATTGCATCAGCAAATCAGCATCCCATTTTCTGGTGTGTGAGCTGGAAGCTCGTTCTCACCAATGTTGCTCAGCTTTGCTGCTGCAGCCAAGGTAAGCAGGCCACTTCTATTGGAGACATTGTTACAGCTTTTATGGGAGACATTGTTACAGCTTTTATAGGAAATATTGTTACAGCTTTTATAGGAAACATTGTTACAGCTTGTATTGTTACAGCTTTTATGAGACACTGTTACATCGCTGGGACAATGGGATGTACTGTTAGTTCCTGGGCTTTGCCCACCTCGGGCTGGGGAACAGGGGTCTCTGGAGTCAGGGCACTGGCCTCTGTAAACAGAACCTCAAGGTCTAACTCCTACGCTGCTGTGTTAATTTACTAGGGATGACATAAAAAAATGCCACCGACTGGGTGGCGTAAACGACGGGAATATTTCAAATCAAGGAAACTGGAGTTCAAATCAAGGTGCCTCGGGGTCGAGTCCTTCTGNGACTGGAGTTCAAATCAAGGTGTCTTGGGGTCGAGTCCTTCTGTCGGCTGAGGGAGAACCCGCACCCTTTGGTGTTTCTTGGCTTCTAAAGCATCGCCCACTCCGTCTGCATTGATCGCGTGTGGTCTTCTCCCTGCGTACGCGTCTGTCTCCGAATTTCCCCTTTTCATAAGGATAGACGTTGGATCAGGGCCCACCCCAATGACTCCATATTAACTTGGTCACCCCTGTAAAGACCGTGTCTCCACATAAGGTCTCATTCCAAAAAATGGGGCTTAGGACCCCCACATATGAACTTGGGGACAGGGACACGATTCACCTCGTAACACCTGGGCTCCCAGGAGAGCCTTTGGGGTTCCAGTTTTCACCCTGGTAGCTGGGTTCACAGTCCCCAAGCCTCCACCTTTCGCCTTTAGTGCCAGGGCCAGAAACAAAGCTCATGTGGCCCAGCGGCTGTTTCCTGTTGAATGTTCTTCTCCCTGGGACTAGCAGGAGCGCCTCCCAGAAATCTTTCTTATTGATCCTACTGAGGATACGAGCACAGGCTGAGGCTGCTCCTCTGCATCCGTTTCTCACCATCTGTGATGAGGAGTCAGGGGACCGGTGACACCAGCTGCCTGTCCCTCTCCGTAGAGCCCTGTGGAGTCGAGCAGAGGTCGGGGCGCCCAGGACGATCCGCAGGAGGAAGAAGTGACAACACTGCAGACCGGGGACGGTGCCCACAGTCACGTGGTTAACACAGAGCTGGAACCGCTGTCCCTCTTCACCTCCAAACCCACATTTCGATAAAAAACTAATGTATTAAGTTCTTAAGATAATGCATTTTTCTACCTCTTGCTCATTCGTTAGTTTTATTCATTTCTTCTGAACTTTGAGAGTTTATTTTAGAATTTTGGGGGGCAGGGTGCTCCCGAACACACAGGCCTAAAGCCACACGGTGAGTCGCTGACGAGCAGGGACCAGACAGCGTGAGCCCGAGGAGCATCTGTGTTTACGTGGACCTGTGTGATCGATGGTGACACGCAAAGGCCTCCTCCTCGGACACGCGGAATGTCTCATCCTCGGTTACGTGGAAACAAAACTACAAAGGCATTTCTAGCCAGATCAAAGCGAAAGTGTTTAGCTCACCCCCGTGGAGAACTTTCCTAGAGCAGCCTGAGCTCATCCAAGGCCACGCTTCAGTGTTTAGCAGCAGAGGCATCAATCGTCCTTTCTACAAAGCCGCCGGTAACCATTAACTTCACTCTTTAGAGAGATTATCCATCCTGTTTCCTAACCGTCATGGGTCACGTTCTCCGGAAAATGCCTGAGCAGTGCACCCAGGGACCGTGTGGAAGGCGACTTGTGACACTGGGGCAGAGGAGTGGTGACCAGACGGGCTCGTGCCGGTTCTCTGGGGCTTCAAGGTGTTTTGTCAGACGCCTTACTGAGGAGAAGCACGATACGAAAATGAACAGAGGCTCCTGTGGTTTCTGCACAGGGACGTGTCCAGCCGGCCGCTCAAGGCCCGAGGCCGCCGCAGGGCTCAGTGCACACACCCACGCCCGGCTCCCCCGGGGGGCATTCACAGGTCACCTGCAGGGACGTCTGCCAGGTCCCAGGCCAGGGGTCCTAAGCACCCTGACCGCACACCTTGTTTTTTCTCTCACGCTCAAGTCACCACCCCCTCCACTCATGTATCACGTGGAGGCAGAGCAAGCGTTTTCCACATAAAGCCCTTTTGTTACGACCGAGAACCGTAGCGCGATCAGAGCTGTCAGCGAACGTCCCAGAGAAACAAATGCTCCTGTAAGAAGCTTCGCTCTCCGGGGAGCCACGCGCCGAACGCTGGCCAGTTGTAACCGTTTCCGCCCCGTTTCAGGGCAGGGAGGCGCGTTGGGGGAGGTCTGTCCTGTGCTGTGTCTCCGCCACCCAGAGGAGCTGACCCAGCAACGGCTTCGGCAGGAAATCTCTCCTTCCCTTTCCAATTTCCCTCCGATTCTGCAGACGTTGGCCCCTGAACACACGAAACCAGACAAGCCCCATGCTGTGCGCTCGCTTCGCCTGGAGATTAACAGACAGAGTAACTCTATACTGTAGTCACCGTCGACAATTGCAGTTCTCAAGGTTTGGAACCAAGATGAAAATTATAAGTCGGAACAAAGGATATTCAGTCTGCACGTCTGGAAGAAAATGAGTGTGAACGCCTTGGGTCTCCACGTCCCCACGGGCTGAGCGGTGAAAGCAGCTCACTTCCGCGGCGTCCTGCGTCGGCCCCCCGCCCGCGCCCCGGCCCGGCCCGGCCGCCTTCCTGAGCACGTTCCCACCTCAGACCTCACCATCGCGCTGACCCTGAAACCGACCGTGTATGTCAACCCGAGGCGTTTCTCCTGAAAACAAGTCATTGGCACAGACAACCGTCTAATAATAGCGTGAAGCTTACGAGACGGCTCCAGAGTCAAACTCCCCAAGTGCCAGTCCCAGGGCTGCCACCACTTACTGTTAAGCTGAAACACATGAAAGTGCTTTCCTTGTAGGAAAGACAAAGAACCATCTAAAACGTACAGTTTCACATAGTTCAACTTAATTGATGCCTCACCCATCTGAAAAGGGGAATAATAATAGTTGCTTGGAGTAATTCACGAGATAATAGAAGCAAGTAACGACTATGGGGGGACAGTGCTCCTCACGCTCCCGGGTGCCTGGGGTCCCCTGCGGGCCCATGAATACCCCCCTGCCCGGCCGGCGTGGCTCAGCGGCTGAGCATCGACCTGGGATCCAGGAGATCAGGGTTCGATTCCCGGTCAGGGCACGTGCCCGGGGACATCTGGGCAAAGCCCCCGACAATGGAGTGGGGGGGGGGTTTTTCCCAGAATCTCAGGATCAGCTCTCATCACCCACCCGGACTCTCAGACACCCCGATGGCATCCTGAGGCCTCCTCACGGCTCCTCCCAAACCTCATTTCTCTAAGAGTTTCCATCTTTTCCTAAAGCGGCACTTGATGAAGTCCAGCCCCCAGCTCCAGGGTGACCAAGGAAACCAGCCTCAGGCACGTCCCGTCTCTCCGCTCGAGGACGCCCTGCTTCGCGTGCCGGGCACCCAGGAGGACGCTGGCATCGGCAGGAGCAAGGCACCTGGCTTCTTTCTCAGGTTCTAGCTCCGCAGCCGTAAGGCGCCCTCCGCACGACCCAATACACAGAGACCTTTTTTTTTAATGTAATTTACGTGGACTTAGACATTTCTGCCTCAGAAACGGCCGGCACAGCGCCTCTCGGATCCCAGGCTCTCCTGGGAACAGTCCCGTCCCAGCGAGGGGCACGACTGGTCCCGGCAGTTCTGCGCGGTGAAGCTCTTACCCTGACAGGACGCATCCTGTCCCTCTTTCCCACGGCCCGCGGCCCCAGCACCCCGGGGACCCCCACGGCCACCAGCTCTGGCTCCTGGTTAACGCCTCCGAAAGGCAGACGCCACCACCTTGGCCCTCGGGGGACAACCGCTGCCCTTGAGGGAGTGCCTCCTGCGGGCCACACCCCTCACAGCCCTGCCCATCCCCACGCCCACCTGCCCGCACCGTCTGTCACTCCATCCGCTCTACAGATGAAGACACCGAAACTCAGAGGCCGGGCCGCTTGCCCAAAGCCACGTGGTAGCCGGCAAAACCGAGAACTGAACCCGCCCTGGTGCGGTCCCGAGGTTCGCATCCCCGCGCTCCCCAGAGGGCACCGTGATCGACCGATTTCTGGGCAGTTGCGTCACACGTAAAAAAATCGATGCGCGCAAAGGAGAAGGCCCAGGGCCCACTGCACAAACCTTCGCCTTGGTTCACATCGGCGATCCCCAGCCCTTCCGGACGGCGCTGCGGTCACCACGCGGTCCTCTCCGCTCCCGGCGGTCCCGTTCCCGTAACTGTCCTCCGGTGGCCACGGCAGGTGCTCCCGACTGCTGGGGGGGCACCTCGCGAGCTCGGCCCCTCCCTGCGGCCCGGCCGAGCTTAAGGAGGGGGAGCACTCGCCAGAGGCAACAGCGGGGATCCGAGAAGGGCATGAACGTCCCCAGAGGACAAGTCAGCCACCGGCCAGGCCCTCGAGCTCACTCCACCTGCGAAAACAACCAAGTCCTCTCAATCACGCGTGGACGGAAAGGGGCCACGTGCTGACCGGACAGGCTCAGGGAGGCCTGCGAGGCGGCCTTGCAAACTCAGGGACCCAAAGTAACCACAAAGGGTGGTCTGAAATTAAACCCCCGCGGCCTGTGGTGGGTCCCATGTCCTGAGGCCGTATCTTCCCTTCACAAAGGTTAATCTTCACCCTGGTCTTTGCATCCGAGGTAACAAACCTGAGTAGCACAGGCCTTTGCAAAGCAAAGTTCTTTCCCCTTTTCCCAGGCCCTCCAGGCACCAGGGCGGAGACCACGAGTCTCTCGCTGGGACTGTTCTCGGCTGACTGTTGGCTGTTAATCTCCTGCACCCACCTGAGTAAAAGGAGCGGGTCCTTCATTTTACTTTCTGTCCAATCCCAGAGGTTTCCCGCTTTGCTTTCTCCCGCCTCCCTCGTCTGTCACCCACGGATTTCACGTAACCCACTCAGTCTCCCCCTTTGATTGTAACGCATAAAACAAGGTGCGAAACTGCGGTTTCTGGAGCATTAGCTCCGTCTGTGGAGGTTTTGGCTTCCTGGGAATTGTCAATTGCCGACAGTTTGGCTCAAAGAAGCTCACAAACATTCTTCACAGGCCTGCAGGATTTCTTACGTTAACGAGCTTTTAGACGTTTCCTCCATCAACCTAGTAAAACCGCATGACTTCTTTCACATGCATAAACTGCAGATTTGGGAAAATACTAAAGCACTTAATGCCTGGTGAATATGTAGACTCTCCTTTGGCCCCCACGTGCCTGAAGTAGCCCAACTTTAAATAAATTCGCTCCCCATTGTAAAGCCCTCGAGTGTGGAGAAACTGCTAACACCGGAGCCGGAGCTGGCCTCAGGCCGGAGGGCGGCTTGGTTAACCAGAGCCACGCGGTCCTGGCCTGGGCTCCCTGGCGACTATGAATCAGGTTCCTGAAGACCAAATAAAACTTGCTTAGCCGAGTGTGCTGCTCTCGTTGACTCATCGCCTTGATGTTTGCTCATAGAAGCTGATTTTGGTCAGACCGGTGGTACCCGGAGGCAGATCCCGACCCTCACAAACCTCAGGATGACCCCACAGCACACGTGTGAGACGGGCTGTTCTGTGCCGGGACCGGGGTCGGGAGCGGGGAGCTGGGGCCCCTGCTCTCCACGGGGGCGTCTCCCAAACCCGGAGCTGCCCCAGCTAACGGGCCTCTCGATCTTCACCCGGTGGGAGGGGGAAAGGGGACGCTCAGAGCCCACGGGCTGTTCCTGCGCAGGGTCAGGATAAGCGCGGGGGCCAGGGAAGAACAAGCGGAGCGGCAGGTGGGTGCGTCTCCACCCTCCAGCCTTCTCGGGCCCACAGCCCGGCTCCGCTACAGCTTCCCTGAGGACAGACTATCTTCCCCCCTCCCTCCCTCCCTCCCCACCGTGT